CCGCTCGCCAGACGCTGCCTGAAAAGAACTTTATGGTACTTGGGAAAGTGAGTAGCCGGGATTCGGACCCGTGCGTGGAGCTTCTAGCGCCTCACGCTACACCACTAGTCTAGTCAGCGCTGACAAGTGTAGTGGTGTAACTTACAAGAGATATACGCTCGACTCATTAGCACCCGGCTGGATCACTTGGGTTTATGGCTTATTGAGAGCAGGGATCTCCGGGGACGGACCCCTCGCCAGACCCTGCCTGAAAAGAACTTAATGGTATTTTGGGAGAGTGAGTTGCCGGGATTCGAACCCGTGCGTGAAGCTAGTATCGCCAAACGCTAAACCATCTGACAAAACTAAAGTCACTTCGACAAGAGATCTTTTCCGGCAGCGCCTGGCAAGGGGTCCGTCCCCGGAGATTCATACTTCTAAATTCCCAGTGACCAGCCGGGTGGCCACGAGCCGAGAGTGTATCATTTGTTAGAAAGGCTTACCCCATTAGACTACTCAGTCAGCGCTGACTAGTCTAATGGTTTAAGTTTATCTTACACACGCCTGCGCTACAGCGTGTCTTGACACGAAGGTATAGCGACATTTCACTATCGTCGTCATCTAATCACCTTATGTACGATTCGATAACAATATCCAACAGTTCAAGTAACATTGCGTATCCTTGCAGCAGCTGCCAGAGCGCATGTGCCCCAGAAAGGTGGCCGAAGACCTCCCTTCACCGAAGAATTTACCACGCCCTTTTTTTGCTATGCCGTTCTTTGAATACCCTTACTTAGGTCTGGAGACTCCCGTCGCTATGAAGACCCTACTAGGTGGGTTCTTTTATGGTGTGGGCAACGGGCAATGACGGACGACTGTCTGTCATGCGCCAAGCAACCGCAAAAGTGATTTCGAGTCCTCTCGAACCGGTTGAGGAGTCCATTCTACACACCACGTGCAATCTCTCCGGAATTTCATACAGATGTTGTGGTTTCCGCTCCATATAAGTATTCCGATTGCGTGTATCCCCTAGACTCCGAATAAGGTCGATGAGCTTGATTCCTCTAGTGTGCGCCCACTCGGTGCGCCCACCAAAACGTGAGGGTATTTCGGGGTTCGACAAGACCCTCGTGAACTCCTCTTACGGTAAGTAGTAATGCAGTGCAAGCATTCGTAAGGCGACGGGTTGTAGACCAGACGAAGGTGGACACGTTTGCCCATGGCTTGGAGCCACGAAATGACGAAATGAATGACCCATAGATTCAAAGCACCACACATTTATGTTGCAGATTCTGTCCGCTGCCCGCGCTAACCTGCTCAAGAACAAGCTCCTAGCACAGGGGGTGGCTTAAGTGGCCTTTAAGAATGAATCTGTACCTGGATTTCACTCATGTTCTTTGTTGTCCGTCATTCAGGCTACTAGTCAGACCGTTGCATTGCTGGGTCTTACCTCTCTATTGTTATGAGCTTCAACCCGGGTAGCAGAATGCACCCACGAGATAGAGAGCTTTGAAACAACAAGGTTGGCAATGCTGGACAACCTACAGAATAATCCTTTCATATCATTTTCAGCAGAAGTGCTCTTATGAACAGGTCGACAAAAAGATTTTTTTTCGAAAATCAATAAAGCCATTTCTGTGCCAGATTAGTTCTGGCCATGACATGTCTTGGTGTGGCTTTTACAGTATTACTGCGGTCATGTGAGACTTGGCGGACTGTTGTGTCCCAAAGTGATCGAGGGGAGTTCGACCGAGACCTTCATTTCCACAGCCTGCCTAGGAAGGTGCATAAGCGATAAATGTATTGGCCGTCTACGGACATATACGTCCCCGAGCAGACAACACTCGAGATCAGTCTCGCTCTCGTACACCCTCTCGGCGACATGGATGCTCTATGCTAGCAGAGACTCTCTACGATTGCCGGGGTTCCAATGTCGATATCACGCAAAACGACTCACACCATTGTCAACAGCGACATGCATGATGGACCCTTCAAGAGGCTACTTGAAAATCCCGGCAAGACGGGGGGGGCACCACAGGATACTGCTCGATCCAGCCAGGTCTTATGCGGGGGAACGGCCATAAATCCTCGTGTGCTGACGGCCGCCAGCTGCGGCTAGTGACCTTCATGTTGTTTGAGCCATTAGTGTCTGCGGAAAAAGCCCTGGTGTTTACCCCCTCCTATGTGACCCTGGATGGTTGTAGTCGTACGAAAAAAGCACTGCTGCCACTGGTGTGGTGTGGTCCGGCAGACGGTTTGAATTTGGATTCCCCCCCCCCC